TCTAGTCAGGCTGACCCCATCATACAATTATCAGTCTACACAATCTTTCATTTTCCTCTTCCTCAGTAAGCATTATCAATTCACATTTTAAACAAGCAAATCGTAATTCATGCCAAACAGACAACATACAGTATCAGTTTTTCAGTCATTCAACCCATAATTAATAAAAACGTAGTATATGCACACAAATCTGTAAAATGAACACATCAAACCTCATTTTGCATTTAAAGCTGTAAACATGCCAAATAACAGTAAATCACCAATCACACCATACTCGGGCTCCATTAGCCACCTTACGCAATTTCACATATTCGTTAATTCAAGAAATATCGTTTTATCATTTTGAACTTTAATACCGTGATAGGAAATAGGGTGAGGGGTCCTTACTTGTTTTCGGGATCCGAATACGATTCACAGTGCACCTACAGGCCGTCCCTAATTTTTCCTGAATTTTTCCCGGGGAACTGAAACACACTAACGGTACCTGCACGTGTTCCAAAAAATCTCAAATTAGGCTCAGGGCCCCTTTTTGGCCAATATCGCAACTCCGGCACGGCGGCTCCGCCGTGCTCCGGCGACGGCGCCGCCGCAAGCGGCGGCGATTCGCCTCGAGTTGCTGTTTTCGGTCATTTTCGGCCGAATTCGGCCACACTCGCATCGGTCCCTGCGAGAAAACAACCCTAGGGCCCTCGGGGGGCCAAAAAATCACGGAGAAGCGGAGCTTACCGGCGGCGGCACTCTCGGGTGCGGCGGCTCTCCGGCGAGCGGCAGGCGGCTAGAGTTTGTAGTCTAGTGTGGGGGTTCTATTTATAACCCCTTGCCTTTTGATCTCAGCCGTCCATTTCGTTTTAATCTGGGCCGTTCGTTTTTGATTGAATCTGGACCGTCCGTGCGATTGCATCTGGGCCGTCCGATCGCGCGATTGATCTGGGCCGTCCGATCGCACCCACGCGGATCGCCAACGTGGCCCCTTTTCGAAGCGACGTGGTCTTGCCACGTGGCAGGCCCTGGTTGGCCGGGACTGCTGATCGGGCCTGCTGACGTGGCTGCCGACGTGGCTTTTTTTTTTTTTTTTTTCGGTCCGGGCGCTACAAGTTCCATGTAATTACTTGTAAATAACAGGTCAAAACGTAAATACTCATAATTTAGGGTCAGTTTTATAAATAGGCCTAAGTTAAATCTCATATATAAGTACCTCTATAATCCTTCATCAATAATCTAGTCCTTATTTTTCACAATTCATAAATCATAAAATCAAGTTCTCTCTTCCCTATCATTTTTGGCTTCCCGAGCACGCCTCTTATATTTCACCGATTTCTTCAAATCTTATTTGTTTAATGTCTCTTTTTTATTAAATACACCTCCAGATTTATTCCAAATCTAATAGAAATCATAAACATTTATTAAATATAAATTAGGAATTCAAAATTGACGAAACATGAAAAAGAAAAAAAAAAAAAGCTCCTTTTGTGTAGGGGGGGGGGACTTCTTCTAATTAGGAGACACAACAAAAAATAAAATCTATTAATAGCAGTAAAAAAAAAACTATTAATATTGAATTATTGTCCATTAGTATAACACCCTTAAGACCTATATCAGCAATCTTACTATTTGTTTGAACTTATAGAACCATACAAGTAATCATATTGACTGTCGGAATAGGTTTTACAGTATATACAAATGGAAAACAAAAAATCAATTGGTATAGGTTGATACGTATACCAACAAGCATCATGTTTGTATAGGGTGTTGAGAAACGAACCTTTTCGAAAGTTTTTGCCAGCAGTTTGTCTGTTGGTTAAAATCCTTTATTAAAATTTTCTCATATTTATTTATTTCACAAAATTTTAAAAATAATATTTATATTATTAAATTAAAAATATTAGTACCTTAGATCTATTAAAAACTTATGCATATAAAATTATAAAATAAATTCTATTTATAAAGTTTCAAGTCATCCATAACATTTCTTTTCAATACCAATTCACAAAATTTTAATTAGGTAATACATCCATATCAAACTTTTATCTCGTAATCAAAAATCTACAACTTGAGATATATAACTAATAGATAACAAAAGCTTATATATCACACCTCACCTTGTCGTTATCTCATCATTAATTGCAGTTGCATTACGAAAATAAAAATATCAGCAAGGATGAAGCCAAACCACCATGGTATTTTTGGTATTGAGGTTTCTTGATAAATATCTTCAAGATTTAGAAATTGTGAGAATTTGAAGTGAAAAGAGAAAAAAAACTTGAAATATATAATGACAAAAACAATTAACTAATGTAAAGCTTTGCTCAAATAACAAACAAAATTTCTAGTTTCTAATCGGAGGATATTCCATGTTCATTTACTAAATATGGAGACCCCTTTTAATTCTAGTTTCTAAGTGCAATTGATGCACCTATAAAAGGCTTTTGACTAAAAACTAATGACCTCTCACACAATATTTTATGAAGAAAAACTAAGTAACCTTAGAGACAAATTTGAGGCTTATCTCGAAGCTGAACAAGAAGCGAAGAAAAATCCAAATCTAACTAGATATGGATTTTTTACACCTTACGAAGCTGCTTTTTGCAACTTCTTTCTTGAGTAAGGTGTATGAATCAATTATTTCGTATATCGTTATAGTCAAAAGAATTTATTTGTCAAGCAGAACCATCATAATAACTAATCAATAACAAAAAAACGTATTAATTCATATAAAAGACTAGATAAAAAAGGAGGAAAGAGAAATAGACAATCCTAAATGCACAAGAAGTAGTGAATAATAGAAAGGAAACTCCAAGAATACAAAAATGTTGTCGGCAATGAAGGTCGAATATGCTAATTGGTGGAGCTTGCTCCTAGTTTTGGAGTGTTCCAAATGATGCTAAGGTATACAAAAATAGAGGATTTTTTTTTGGGATGACAAGCTGATGATCTTGGAAAGATTTAAAAATAAAATATATTTACTTGTTAATCTAAATAGAAGTATGTGGAATTGAAAAGGAGAGGATGAAACTATGAAGCAAACCACAATTTATTTGATCTTTGAAGGTTAAAGTTCAAAGTTTAAGCTGGTGAAGCCTGAAGAACGAGTAGTTGATGAAGAGATGGAAGACAAACCCTAAATGAAGGAGCTAGAATTTTCAATTATTTAAATAAAGTTGTTTTTAGTTTAATGAGTTGAAGTTTTATTTTGATATTAAATTGGTTTTGGTTTAATTGGAATTAATTTAATAATGAATGAAGTAAATAAAATATTAATATAGATTTATTGATTTAAACTTTAATAATTTGGACAAACAGGTAAAAAGTTCTCAAGTCATAACCTTAGAAATGAAGATCGTTTGTACATGTCAATTTTCAATAATAAAAGTGAGGTCTTTGGTAAAGAGGGAATCTTTACAAACATCTTGTTTGTAATTTACCATTATTAGTGACGAATTTTGATCATGACCGACGAACTTGTTTTAACTTTTAGTGGCAGAATTCATCCGTTATTAGAAAATTACTTCTTGTAGTCACATTTCTTTCTTCTCAATTTTGATCCATGCATAGCTTAAATCAAAATCTATATAAAATAAAAAATTATATGTAAACACAAGAACTTGTGTCAATATTTTTCTTAAAATTTTTACAACTTTAAATTATATTAATTTCTAAATGATTTTGTAGTCAAGATAACAAATAAAAACCTCCCATTATAAATTTTATATATCACATTTTCGCTTACAAATAACTATATTTTGATCACTTAATGTAATTGTGGTTATGCTTTATATATAGTGGAAAAGAAAGTTAATCTAATAATTAATAAAAATTTATGGAATATTAATTAAGCCATAAAAAACAATGAAGAAAAGCAGCATGAACCAACCAACAGGGAAGGAGGGTAAAAACACAAAATGGTTTGATTAGTTTTCTTGGCTTGGAATTAAAGGGATATCAATAGGTGTGGCAGTTAGAACCACTCTCTTTCTTGTGTGTAAAACACTCACACACTCACTCTACTGATCATCACACTCCTTGTACGGACCTCCGTTGGTTTATTTGACCACCAGCGAAAATCACAGCCTTAGAAAAGGTCTCCCTCCCAGCGCTTGTCACTCCTGTTTTTTCTCATACATACTCTCGTCCTTCTCCTCGAAACAAGACCAACCAAACATTACTCTCCCCTCCTATAAAAACACATATCATACATATATGTATATACATGATTCATAGCTCAAGTAATGGATAATTTAAACTCGTGTAGTTGTCAATCCGCAGAAGAAGAAGATATGGCTAATTGTCTAATGATGCTATCTAACTCAACTGCTGATGATCAGTCTAGCGAATCTGCAACTAGTAAAGAAGAACAGGAGATCAGAAGAGTAAAGTTCAAGTCTTCTCTTAACAGCTCAGCACCCATTTTAGAGAAGAAGAAGAAGTTTAGTGATTGGATCAGCAAAGGAATGTTTGAGTGCAAAGCTTGCAAGAAAACGTTTAGTTCCCATCAAGCTCTGGGCGGACATAGGGCGAGTCACAAGAAGGTCAAAGGGTGTTTCGCTGCTAGGGTTCATCAAGTTGATAGGTTAGCTGATCAGGAACGTCATGATGTGATGCGGAGTTTTGATCAGGGGACGAGTAGTAATATTACTACTGCTACTATTACTATTACATCATCTACATTGAATAAAAAGAAGTCAAAAGTTCATCGGTGCTCAATTTGTAATCGTGTTTTTTCATCAGGACAGGCTTTGGGTGGTCATAAAAGATGTCACTGGATCATGTCGAATTCACTGGAAATTCATACATGTCTAAGTTGTATCCATTTGATCGACATGATGAGGTGGATAAGATGCAGCAGAGAGCAGCCAACTTGGTTGCAAACTCTGAGCCGCTGGATCTCAATTTTCCTGCTCTAGCTGATCAAAATCCTGTTTCACTCAGAAGGGAAGTAGCAGAGCAGTTAGTAAATAATATTCCTTCACATTTTGGAGTATCAACACAACTGTTCTTACAGTCTGGGATAGGAGTTGGTGAGAGGAAAATGGAGAATGATAACAACATTGATGGTAATAATTACAGTGATCTTAACAACTACATTGATGGTGAAGCAGAAAGTAGGGTGAAGTTAGGGATGCTAAGTGAAGCAAAGGACGTGAGTAGTGGTAGTTCATCTTCATGGTTACAAGTGGGGATTGGTTCACCTACTGATATGGTTGTCGAATTTTTAAGTCATTTACATTGAATATACATATACATATATATATATATATATATATGTATTCTTCTTTCTTCGTTTGTCTCTGTTTGGGAAGCCTTTGTAGAATTTTGTTTTGTTTTTAGCTATTTATTCCAACGCACTTGAAAATTCATTAAAAATTAAAAATTACTCTTATTTCGAAAATATGATAATCAATATATTATAAAATTATGAAAGGTTAAATTCGTAGATAATTTTAAGTGAAACTGAGATAATACTGTAAAAATTAACAAAAATAATCAATTTTAATTTTTCTATGATCATGACTCAAAAATTAAAATTTTCAAAATAGAAAAATTTTGAAGAAAAAAAAAAGACTCTTAGAATTAATCAAAATATAGAATTTTAAATTTGAACTCGAAAAGTAAGGATATGACATACAAAACAGTAAATGGAGAGAAAAGATAGACACCACGAAGGTAGGAGGACTTAATTTATCTCTATGGGTTATAAAATATTGGCAAACATTCTCCCACTTCACCCATGTAATTTTACATAATCTTATGGTTTAATAATAAAACATAATGATTGGATGATAAGTTAAAATTTATTATTATAGTGGTCAAATAATAAATTATCATCGAATAGAAAAGGCGACATATTATTTTTAATACATCACAGTATTAGTATAACATCCCGAACTCCAATGTCGGTAGATACGGATGTTAACACTATTTTCAACTTAATATAACAGATAAATATTAAATATGTAGCGGAACTATATTTTAATACACATCATTTGTAACAGAATAATTATTTATTTACAAATAATTGAGACATCTAAATTAATTTACAATATTAAAATAAAAACTAATAAGATTTTTCTTTATCATCTTCTATTGATCTTGAATTTGTTCATCATCTCCTTTGACCTGGATATGGGTGAATTGGGGTGAGTTTCACGAGCGTAGTAAGAAAAAAGATTCTATAACCAAAACTTACGTACATACATTCACGTAATATATAAAATATAATAATATCTATCATCAAATAAAATGTCAAACAAGCATCACAATTAAAATACACAATAAAATAAATCATCACACAAAACACATTCTAATCATCACTCTTATAACATAATTCTTGTTATCCTTTCAAATCACACTTACACTCGAACTATCATAATACACTTAAAATATCATATCTAAGATTTCATCGCGCGGTGTCGTTATATCGTCATCGAGTAGAGGCGAAATAGATCTCATCGCATGGATAGTATACACACATAAATTTCACAATAGCCATAGTAGGTACGCTTGTTAGTGATCTACACTCACAAATATCTATCCACGTCTAA